CATTAATTTATTAGCGTTATTATTGATTGGATTTAAATGAGACGAAATTCACAATTTAGAATACAAAGTATCTAAAATTGAAATTTAAAGTGTAAAATAGAAAAGTAAGATTGGAAGTGCAAAGTAGAGTTGATCCTTAACATTTGGTCAGAGTTCGTTATACTGAAAGTAAAAGGTGAAAATAGTTAAGTTAAACAGTCAAGCTTCCGCCAAATATGAAATTTTGCGAACAATGACATTTCCTTGAAGGTTTACAAAATCTACCAATGTCCAATGATGATGCATTTATAAATGCAATGACTAGACTTTTCCTGGAAAACAATGGAGACATGCCAATAAGGCAATATATGTTGAAAAAGAAATACTACTGTATGTTTTTGTTTGTGAATGATATCGTAATATATCTCAAAGCGTTAATCTTCATTATGAACAGTTCCAAAAAGTAGAAGGAAACTGTGCAAATGCAGTCCAGCAAACTTGTTTCATCATTCAATGGAAAAGGGTTTCTAAGAGCATTTATCCCTAACAAAAGATTAACAATACTTGAGTGCAACTTTATTTATCATCGGATAACGGTTATCCACTACTGAAGCGATCGTGCTCTGGGAGAACTAGCATGTTCTCGTGCTCCCCACTGGGAAAAAAACAAACGTTGATATGTTTCTCAAATTAAAATTTGGTTCATACTTGGTAGATTAGGTTTTTCATGCTACAAATGATCTCAGTCGACAGACTTGTCAATTGAAAAGATATAATTTACGTCGTTCACTTCAATATAGTTGATAGAATAATTCTACTTGCCAAACAAGCCATTTTCAACGCTAACTGAAATTCTCCCACAATATTTCATTCTTGGAACCAAGTCGAACTTACAGCTATTACTCCTGGGTTCTAGTTTGTTGTATATTTTGCAAAAACTGACTGTGAAAAGTGATTATGGAGAAAATTTTAAGTCAATTAAAGTTGAAATTATGTAAAATCACAGGAGATTATAAATAATTTACCTTATATATATACACACATACATACACACAAACACAAATTATCCAAAATCATGATTTGAAATTAGTTGGAATGATTTTTTTTTTAAATTTTTTGATAAGTAGGAAGTTTTGAATTCAAAATCTCATACTTTACCATCCAATCCAATCCAACCCTTACCCACTGGACCGATTAAATGAGAACAAGCCTCATGTCATACTTGTCATACTAAGACTAGCGACAAAATATGTCACATCTACAAATACGAATGTACAAGCTATCAAACACAAATAAAATCTTATCATCCAATTCGATCTTTTCACCCAGAATGATTAAACAAGAACAAGCCCTCTATCATACTAAAAATGTATTTGATAAAACTGAAATTTGAAAATTGAAATTTGAGATCTAAAATATAAAGTCTGAATCCATTAATTTATTGAATTGTTAAATTTAAATACTAAATCTGATACATTTGAATGTATATTACATTAAGTGATAAATGAATAGATCATCACTTATTTTTGGGAGTAAATTTTATCTAAAAAATAAAGTGTCATTTAATTAATTTAGATATTCAATTTTTACTTATCAAACAAATCTGAGCATGTTAAAATTTGAATTCAGTAAATTTAAATGCTGAATTGATTTATCAAATAGAGCCTAAGACTAAAGAAAAAAAAATATAACATCTACAAACACGAATATACAAGCTGTCAAACACTCATAAAACAGTAGTTTATTTGGATTACACATTATTTGCACGTCATTTACACATATTGATTTGTTTGCATTATTAATACATTTTTCAATCAATTTTCTATTTTACAAACATCACATCAAAAAAAGTGTTATGATATTTTTTTTTTCAAAAAATTATCCCAAATGATCTCTTATCCAAAAACACTCTGATCATCCAGCTCAATTCTTCCCCCTAGAATGATTATATGAGAACAAGCCCTCTATCACACTAAGACTAACGACGAAACATATAACATCTACAAACATGAATATATAAGGTGTAAAAAATAATAAAACCTTATCGTCCAATCTAGTCCTTCCCTCGGAATGATTAGATGAGAATAAACCCCCTATCATACTAAGACTAATGACAAAATATATATAATGTCTAGCAACACTAATACACAACCTGCCACACACTAATACAATCTTATATTCTGACTCAATCCTTCTCCTTGAAATGATTAAATGAGAACAAAACCTACATCATACAAAGACTAACGACAAAATATATATAACTTTTAGAAACACGAATATACAAGCTGTCAAACACTAATAAAACCTTATCATCCAACTTAATCCTTCCCTCGGAATGATTAAATGAGAACAAGCCCTCTATCATACTTAGACTAACGACGAAACATATAACGTCTACAATTACAAGTTATCAAACACTAATAAAACCTTATTGTCCAACTCAATCTTTTCCCTCGAAATGATTAAACAAGAACAATCCCTCTATCATACTAAGACTGATGACAATATATATATAACTTCTAGAAACACGAATATATAAGCTGTCAAATACTAATAAAACCTTATTGTCCGACTCAATCCTTTTCCCCAAAATGATTAAATGAGAACAAACCCTACATCATACTAAGACTAACGACAAAATATATAATGTCTACAAACATGAATATATATATATATATATACATACATATAAACTGTCAAACACTAATAAAGTAATGTATAAAAAAGTAGCGCATTGACGTTAAAGATTCTTATATGGAAATTTTCAATCAATTAAAGTCCTTTTTTTTAAAAATTAGGTTTTCATCTTTTGTTCTCTAATTATAAGAGGAAATAATTGGGTTTATGAAGCAATGCATGCAGCATTGATTGTTTGCAAATTGATTTCAGGTCAACGTCGGAAGAAAATTGTTCAAAGGTGGTTATGCAAGCTTACGTACTAATCAAATATTGTTTAAGAATAACTTTCGATTAAAAAGGGTTAATTTCATTTTGCATCCTTCAACTATATCCAAAATCCTACTTTAGTTCCTAAACTTTAAAAATGAACACTTTAGTCCTTAAATTTAAAGTTTGTTTCATTTAAATAACATCATTAAGGAAGTGAGAGAGATTTTATGGCTTAGTGGGTATACTTTAGGAGCTAAATTGAAGCAAATTTTGTACCTTAAGGGCTACAATGGACAACTACTCTACTTTAGAGACTCAAAAATATGACAAATTTTATAATGTAGGAATTAAAGTATCATATATTAAAGTTTATGGATTAAAGTGAGAATTCGGGTATAGTTAAAAGGTACAAAGTGGAATTTACCCCAAAAAAAAAAAAGGGTTGGAATATAAGAGGAAAGAAATTCCGATTTCCATTGGATTGTACGAAGATTGTGCCCATCATGCGTCAGCAAACAAATGTATCGAACTAATACCTATAAGTGAAAGCAAATGCTTTTTGAGTTTTATATTCGTAAGACAGTCATTTTAGCTTTTTTTTTTTTTTTTTTTGGGAAATTCAGGGAAACACGTGTAGTTTTGCAGCAAAGTCACAATGCACGTAGAGATAAGGTGGTGTTTGTTGGGATGAATAATCATTTGATAAAAGCCACAGCTTTACATAATTTTCAGTGGGTTACAATAGACTGTCTCTGATTGAATGGAGTTATTTTTTGATGTTACAAAAGTTCCTGGTAGAATATTTCATGTTGGTGAAAACAAGCGTGGAAAGTTAAAAAATGTCGTCCAATTTTTAATGAAGTTGCGAAGAACGACTTCAAAATGCTAATTCCGACTTCAATTCATTTCGTACTCAATTTTTTTTTTTTTCCCGTTTAGATAATAAAGCTTTCTCTTATACTGCACTTAATATCATCACAACCCAAGAGCGGTATACAAACAGAAAAATGAAAATGCCTATAACTATAAGGGCAACATATTTTTGGTTGTGAGCAGATTCAATTAACTACTATAATTATTCCAAGAAAGAAAATATAAAAAGCTTATTTTGGTTGTGAGCCATGCGTGAATCAACTCGACATCAGGTATCTTTGGATGGTGAATTTTTTTACAAATTTTTTTTATTGCATCATAAATATATTTTTTAAAACATCTTTTCTTTTGTATTTCACGTCACAAAAACTTCTACCGTAAAAGTTTTATTCAATAATCTTCCATCCAAATAAACCTATTGATTTTCAATATGACCGATACATTTATGTGATAAAAGGACAAAACTACCCTTATCGCACGCCATGACCATGAGCTCCAAAGTCCAATCCCACATCCATTGTTCCAAAATTTCTTTTTTCCCTTTTGCCCCTTAAAATCAACCAGTTACTCTAAACTAAAGCCTCCCGCGGCTAGATCCAATCTCTCGGTCCCTGCAGAAGGGAAAAGGAATTTCATGCTCTTCCTTTCGGGAAGGGAGGATTAGGGAAGACCAAAAGCAAGCAGCTGCTTAGGCCCAATGCTAGAGATTGGATCGGGTGTTAATAAAACATTATGATGGTCCCCCTTATGATAGCACGCGGGGTATATAAGGGAAGTAATCAAAGTGCCAAATCTCCAACTTTTGGAGAAAGGTTGAGAGCATAGACAGCGTGATAATAGACAGCGAAATCAGTACTGGTTACAAATACCAATTACCAAAGCCTAATAACAACAAATGAAGGAAAGGAAAAAACTTTAATAACAACAAAAGAAGGAAAGGAAAATACTTAAAAACTTGGCAGCCAAAGATTAGAGAATTAAAACTAAGAGCACAAGCAAAATTTGGGCAATTTCATTATTTACCCGCCATCTCTTCATAGTCTATGTGAAAAAAACTTTTATTGAAAATTCTTTCTTTTTTTCCCCTTAAACTTTCTATGCGACACAAACTGCCCCACATACATGATATATCTTGAACAAGAAAATCTGCTAAAATCAAGTTTTCTTACTTATTTGGGCTCTCCATTGAACTTCAAAACAAGCGACTTATACGTTAGTTTCTTGTGCTTCTCTTTATCACTCTCTCGGGAAAAACGCTGTTTGGGAGGGAAAAAAGTGAAAGAAGGCCAGAGGGGATTCTTTGATTATATGTTGTTTGGCACTGGGATTTCGGGTTGCATTCATTTGTCTGGAGTGTCGAAGCACCTCTGGCTTCCATTTCCCTCATTGGCATTCTCTGCCTTTTGCCCAAGAATTTCTCTCTCTCAGAGCCAAAAACAAGTCATTCCCTCATCTTCCATGCGTTTAAGACCAGAAAGGTATGGCCTTTTTCCCACTATTTTGTACTTATACGAGGATCATCATTTATTTATACACTCCTGCATGTTTGTTGTGCACTTGCAACTCTGGAAAGGTTGATAAAGACTTAATTTTTTTTTTTTTCTTGCGTTTGTTTTTGTGGGTTTTAAATTCTTCTTCTAAAAATACAAAAGAAATTGATGTAGCTGTTTGAGGGTTTAAGGGGTTTTTTGTTGTTTGTTTTAAATGAATGCAGGACTTGTTCTGGAATGGCATACTATGGGGCCTTTCATATAAAGGCCTGTTGCTGCTTTTCAATTTTTGGTGTTTCTTGGGACTAATAACAAAGATCATTCAAGATATTCAGAAATCGGAAATCTTTTTTGATCAGTTCTCTTCAGTCGGGGTTTTGGCAGGGTTTATCGTCTGTGGCTTTGCCTGATAGATTCTCTTCTGTGATATGCCATTGTTCAGTGGTGAATGTTAAATCTAGTTGATATGATGGATAAACAAGAAAATAAAGATCAGAAAGTTAGAAACATGGAGGAGATTTTGAAGTCTGTTAAGAGAATTAGGATCACTTATACTGATCCTGATGCTACTGATTCTGATAGCAATAGTGATGATCAGTTCAATGACCGGCGTAACAAGCGGAAGGAGATTGTTATCAATCATGATCTTCCTCCAAGGAGTCCATGCGTTCAAGCTCCTAGAGAGCATTTTGCAAATGCATACAGGATTTCTTGCAACATTGGTGAATTTAGCAAGAAATCGCAGAAATCATCATCAATGTACAAAGGTGTAAGGAAAAGGAAATGGGGAAAGTATGCCGCAGAAATCAGAGACCCTATTAGAGGTAAAAGAGTGTGGCTTGGTACTTATGATAATGAAGAAGATGCTGCTAGAGTTTATCAGGCAAAGAAGCTCGAGTTTGATAGGATCATGGCTGACAGGAAGGCAAATTCGAGTTCTTCTGGAGCCTCAGCTGTTGAGGGCTCTGTGGCTTGTGGCTCTGCATCAGAGGAGACTAATGCTTTGTGTTCACATCCATCTCCATCATCTGTTCTAGAGATATCTACAGCAGCTCCCATGGCAAAGGAGTCTCTCCAGGCAGGTGGTGGAGCAAAACTTAATAGAACGGTGGATGTTGAGCCACTTCTCTCGGGATCTACGGAAAATGGATTGATCTTGCCATTGGTTTGTCAGGATTTCAATCCCAGGGCTGATGGTGGATTGTTATATTGTAGTAATATGGGAAAGCAAGCCATTTCAATATTAGTGGAGGATGCATCGAGAGAGCAGCCTGTGGTTAGCAGCATCAACGAACCATCTGATTTTAGCCATGCAATAAAGGAAATGGAAGGATGGCAACCTTTCTCGAATAATCAATCAGTTAACAAAGATTCTATTCTGAACACTAAGGATCAATTATTCAATGGCAATAATGCAGTGGGCCTGGAGACCTCAACATCCCCGGCTGATTCACCCGTGCTACCTTCAATAAGTGCACATCTCAATTTTGAGGAAAATTTGCGATATGACAATGATTTGAAAGAGTTAGGCTTTGAGGAGAATTTGACATATAGTAATCGTTCACATGAACTGTTTGATTGTCTCAGTCAGGTCATTTCTATGGATCAACCAGAACTTGATGAAGAGGAGATTGCTTGGTTAAATAAGGATCTGTTCAATGATGACCAATTCTGTAATTAGGATTGAGTTGTCCAAGTATTTCCAGTAAATAATCACAAAAAAATGTAAATGAGGAATGGGGGCTGTTCTTGGATGGATCTCTATGGCCATGGAGCCATCCCAGATTTTTCTTGAAGTCTCCCCAGTGCTTGTGCACTGTTAATGTAGCCAACTTTCTTCATGGCTTTTAGAAGTGAAGTATGTTATGAAGAAATGAGAAAGTAGAAGAAACTTAGTAAGAGTTGCATTTCTGTGAGTCCCAATTTGTGCACCTTTTCACATTGTGGTGGTTTGATTCTTGGTGGAGGATGTGGAACGCAGCTAATTCTTTGTGCATGCCTTTAAAACTTTTTTCTTTCTCGTGTGTTCTATTCTGGCCTTTTCCTAACTGATGCTTTTGTCCTACAAGCTCTAGAAAAGTTAGATGACACGAGCCATCGTAATTAAGTTGACTTTGGGAAGAGAGAAGTTTCTGGCCGCAATTTTTGACAATTTTTTTGCTCCTCCCTCCTCAGCTAATCAGCATTAGCAAAATTTGTGAGGGAATGTCTTCAAAGCTTGCAATTTTTTATTGCAAGGTAAAAGCAAAAGCAAATGTCTATCTTTTTGCATTTCATCAGTCTGTCCAATTTGTCAGAATCGAGAAATTTTTAGCAGCCTTTGTAGCATATACTTTTTTTTTTAATTTTGTTCCTATAGACCTTTTTTTAAAAATTTTTTTTTTTAAATTCATATTACCACATTGCAAATACTTTATGAGATTAAGAAGCTGTTTAAGAGTGAGACACTTTTGCTAAAAGGGCACTTTAGATAATAAAAGTACTTTTGAACTATTTAGCGTACATAACTTATAGACTTAAATGTAGAGTTTTTGGTGTTAAGAGTTATTTTAGCAATCGTTTAAATTTGGTGCTTTCAAAATAATTGTGTAGGTTTTTTAAAAAAAATAAGACATACACTTTAATCACTTTTTCACTATATTATGAATTCAATGAAGAGATAAATACATTTAAAAAATTTAAAATTAAACATTATCTAAAACAATAACCACTTATCGAAGTGCTTGAATTATTTTTCAAAAAGCCACCACAGCCCTAACACTTAGTCCAAAGTCTAGCATGGAAAAGAGTCGGCAATATAAGATAGACTTGAATCCGAGCATTTTCTTTAGAATTTAGTATTTTTTTACTTTACCACGCAATCAAAGCTTTTATCACTTTTTTTTTTCTGGGTGCCGTGTTAAAACGTTAAAATGCTTTTCTCTGCTTGATACTGAATTACTGTCTACCGGGTTCCATGAGATGGTATTTGAGCACAGAAATTGCAAGTTTCAAATATGCAAAGATTTCCCTTTTATCAACAAAAAAAAAAAAAAAACTTTGTTCTGGTGAGGCGATTGAGAAAAATTAAGCCGTCAATTTGAACCTTGATGCCAACCGCTTTGACCGACATTTTCCGAAAAACTTGCAAAGGTGGACTTTGGAAGTCAAAGCTGAAGCCAACTACGGCGAAGACCGACAAAAAAAACTTTTGAATTTTGGGGCGCAATATTTGCGGAAACGATCACTTTTGTCGTCGTGATATTCTATTATCGGATACTCTGTCGCGTGGAAAACAACTACGAATTGGTAGTCAAGAAAACATTTAACTCCTTGCAGCCACGTTTCAATCGCATTACAAAATCTGGGCATTAGCCCTTTAGTTTAGCACCTGTTTCTTTGACAGAGATATGTATCATCCTTTCGATATAAAAAATGTATCTTTCAACACAACTGCACCTTTTTCCCTCAAGAAAGTAACGTATCGCTTGCTTAATAGATGATGAATATCCATTTTCTTTTGGATAAAGATTAATAAAAACTACGCCTGGCTAATCCTATGACTTTTAAATCAAGTAGTTGCAGTCATAATGTTACAATTTAAGCTACAACCTACACATTGTTCTTCCAGCAAGATACCGCTGCAACTTCTGCTGTCTGCGCATCCTGATGTAAGGTGAGGATGTTTCTGTGTATGACTGCAGAGACAATTATCAAACGTCTCGTTCTGCATAATCTCTGCAGCAGAAGTAACAACATGCTCGAAAAGATAGCACAGGATGTTGGAAGTCATTCCTCAGTTCCACGATCAGCAAAAGCAAGTTCGCATGCCAGAGCTAGATGATCACTTCCCCATCTCTGCAAAATGGAATTATGCTTAATGCCACAGAAAACTGCAATTCTGTCAGCCTTGGGTTGATGAATGTGTGTAGGTTTACCAGAGAAGATAGACCGACATGCATTGATGATTAAACTTCTAGTGCAGAACAAGCCACAACATGTTTTGTCAAGTCCAAAAATAGCCTGCAGGTAAAATTAAAGATACCTTGCTTGGGAGTCCACCTGTTTCCTTCAATCTGTTGATGGGCAATGTTTCAAGAACTTTGACAGGAAGAAGCTCGCCTGTATGCCTGCATCAGCTCATGTCGTCTGACAACATATTTTACACTGCAAAAAATGCTTCGGAAAAGATGCCGAACGGGGGGAGGAGGAGAAGGAAAGTAAAAGTCCAGAAAGCAAACAATAATGTCCTTTCACAGGAAATAAGAGTACCATATATAATCAACAGTTCCCATGAATTTGGAGTGGTATGATGTTGCCAAGGGTTCTCCGATGTTATTCCTGCTTCTAGTGCTTCCCTGCATAAATTCAGACAAAGAAGTATTACAAGAGAAGAACTTCTCGGACATCTCATGTAACACAATAAGGTGGCAATTTTCTAATAAAGTTACATCTTTAATAAGCTGAATCGTGGTTATGCTTTCGTCTGGAAATTGAAGAGCTCTAGTGCTTCATGCATGAAGTTAGAAGAAAGGATTAAAATCTTACAGGAACTCCTACATAAGCACTGCATAATTTCAATGGGTGCCTCACGTGACTAACTGCAGATCCAGCGGCCAGCCTAAGTTCATCTTGACTCCATCTATGCATTAATGGCTTTTTTGATGAATAAAAACTGCATGCCAAAATTTCACAATTAGTTAAATAAAATCAACAGTTGCTCAATATTAAAGGAAAAAGAAAAAAATAATTTCAATCATGCAAAAACTCAAATCTAAATTAAAGTGGTATAGTTGCAGGGCCTGGTGTCCAAGCTGAAATGCACAATAACAGATTAGATGACATATTTTGTGCTCACGAGCACCCTCAGCTAAGTTGGGCCTTGCTTGGATTCAGAAAATTTACTAAATTAGGCATAAGTTTCTTTCAAGTTTGACTAATTCAGTACATCTATGCCAACCTTAAATTAGCAAATATAATAAGCTCTTCACAAGCATTCCATTCATTTGGAGCCCTTTAGGCCTTTCACCCTCTTTCTAGTGAATGCGGATAGCTCTGCCACACTCGTGATGACAAATACACATCAGAATCAGCTGGCCTTAATGGAGAAGCCAACTAAAAAGGGACTCTGTCCAATTTCCATGTGCATGAATGTTTTCTAGTGCCAAAGCAATAATAAACAGAAAGCTCCAAGCATACCTCGCAGCATGGCTACTCCTACAGTGAAAGCCTGGGTTCTCTAGTGGACAAATCTGGCCAGATATTTGTTTTCGATCATGCTGTTGGACATCCAACTATAACAATTTGAATTAATGTAAAGGAAAAAATTACAATGTTACAACTGTTAAAAAGACAAAAACAAGTAAATGAAGGAGCTAATAGCACTGCCTGAAAATTGTAGGACGATAAGTTGGGAGCCAAAGCTCACCTCAGATGAAGTCAGAAACTGATACATAGCACTCTGAGAAGAAAAACAGAGGAAACACATCTAATAAGCTGCAAAGGTAACATATAACTTGAAACATAAATTGGAAGTTTAGAAAGAATCTGAGAAAAATATATATATTTTTTGGTAAGTACCTGTGGCATACTATTGAGGTCCCCAGCAATCACAACCGGTATGCCACCCCATTCTTGTGATAGTTTTGAGCCTTTTCAAGAAAAAGTCGCATCTGAAAAAATCTGCAGGTCATATTCTGATAGATATATTGAAATAGTGGAGATTTTAAGTGTATAGCCAAAAAAACACACAAATTTGCATCATTATCCTCGGTACATAAGCATATATCAAAGGGCACCATCAGTAGTATAAACAAATCCCAGATGTAGAAGAACTGCTTTCTGTAGTTAACTGGAAGAAAGAGGCCCCAATCACGACAATCAGAAAAAGCAAAGAAGTTTTACAGTATCTGAAGTACCCAAACGAAAAATCAGATATGAAGAGATGAAGCAAGACAAGAAGAGACAGTTCAGCATACATCTAAATGAATAGCCACACTGTAAATAATACATCTGCTCATCTTAGTTAGATACAATCTCCAGAAGAATTAGAGTAAATTGGAAGACATGGGTGCATGGACAAAGAAGAAGGTACCTGGCCCAGTTTGATGTCTCCACGGCTTGGGTTGAATAGCACATGTATGTTGCCAACGAGAAAGGTTCTGGAGGATGAATATCTAAATGCAAAAGACAATATACAAAATTAATTATTTAAAGAAACTGTAGACCACAATATAACAAAAGTCAAAAGTTCCACCCAGTAAAAAGGGTAGACCCTAGAAAGATCCCAGCAACCATAATTTATCTGTATGCTATTGCACTAAATACAGAATGGAGCACATCTACACCTACTTTGGTGCTTGAGAATTCATGTCCATAAGCAGCTGGCTTTGGTTCATCTGGGTAAATACAGTAATTCAGATCGTCAAAGTAAGGTTCAGAAACATGAAAAGAAACAATTGATCACCTGAAGCATACTACTGTTTTACACCAAAAATCTATCCAAGAACTTACACGTCTAGTATGAAGTTAAAATTTTTGATGAATCACTTTATTGAGCTTACTCTGAAAATACAAAGTTGCGAAACATTATTGCGAAGGCCAAAAGTCTGGAACTCTAGCTTTCTTCATGCAATAGGGTAAGCCTGTGACAAAATATATTTCTCTTTGTCAGATGTTTTAAAGCATAAATATCAGTCCTCAATGCAGGCATTTGATAGCAGTGCAATTTAAAGAAAACGAGAAAATAGGATAAAAATTCGGATGCTAATGGCTAACTTAACTCCTGCTCACCCCACCCCCTTCCCCTGAGGCACAGAAAGGGCCTATTTGTGCATTCTGTAATCTATCTAAAAGCAGTTGCACAAATAAGATGTTACAGGATTATCAGATTCAAACATATCTCTGAGTCTACAAGCTGGATCATTCATTAACACAAGTTCAAGTAAACTACAAGCAAGCAGGAAAGAGGTGTTGAAAGGAA